TTTTTCTGAAATCCATATGGACTCGTCGAGTCATGGTCAACTCGGCGAGTCACTTAAAAAATGCATAATTTTCAAAATTTTGAAATTTATTGTAAATCATTTCACCCCACACTTAGCCTATGCACACTCTCAAGCAAACATGTCCGATGATTTGGAAGATTAAGATTCAAAAAAAACGAAGGGAAAATAAATAAAAAAAAAAACTAAAAAGTAAAAGAAAGCAAACTCTATATAACGGGTTGCCTCCCGCCAAGCGCTTCTTTTTGAGGAGTCATTAGCTAGATTCCTTCCCATCTACGTTTTGTCATCTTCGAGCATCGGGAACGCACACCTAACTTTTTGTGATTTGTACTTGGTCTTGTAAGCGTGGATCTTTTTCTTGTAAGCCCGTTTTAATGCATCTCTTTTCTTTTTCACGGCCTCATCCTCAGCTGCTTGGGCTTCTTTTCTTCTTTACCCCCTTCTTCTTCACCTTCTCTTGAACCTCCTTCTCTTTAAATTTAATTATTTCCCATTTCATGATGGTCTGTGCTTTAGGTTTAGTAGTGAATAGGTGATCAGCTTCCTCCATCCTTTCCTTTATCTCTTCGTTCGTTCTAGTGCTTAAACCATCTTTGAAATGAACCGTATCAAGACATGCTACATCGGCATATTGAACTTTTCTTCCCTTTTCTCCTTCTGCTGTTTGTTCTTCTGAAGAATCATGTATATTATCGAAATCCAAGGTATGTGAAGAACTAGTAACAGGCAGATCTAAGTCGGCCAAGTGTTTGCCCAAATCGACTGGACTCGTCGAGTCCATTAAAGTGACTCGGCGAGTCAGAACGAATTCCATAAAATCTTGGGTTTTTTCTGAGTGGGTTCCTTCCAGTAACTTTTCTAATTCATCCAAGTCCTTGTTAACATCTCCTTCTTCTTCAGAGTGTATCACAAACTTGCTTGGGTCTTCTTTTAGTAAACGTGCAAGCTCTTTTTCTAATATCTCATCATCTAATTGGATCATTGAGACTTCTTCAATCTTTTTCTCTTCTTGCTTGATTTCTGGAATAGCTTTAAACATCATAGCCTTATCACCCACTCTTAATGTCAATGTAGACTCACATATATCAATTAAAGCACACGCGGTGTTCAAGAAGGATCTCCCCAAAATAATTGGAATTTCGGGGTCTTCTTCCATATCAACAACCATGAAGTCTACTGGGAAAATAAACTTGTCAACTTTTATAAGGAGATCTTCACAAACGCCTTGTGGATGAATTATTGTCTTGTCCGCCAAATGGATCTTCATTTTCACCAGTTTTGGTTCTGGTAAATTCAACTTCTTAAAGAATGACAAAGGCATCATATTGATGCTTGCTCCCGAGTCAGCTAATGCTCGTGTGAAGACCTCATTACCAAATTGGCACGGAATCACAATATTTCCAGGATCACCCTTCTTTTTAGGTAGCTCACTCATCAATACTTCTGCGACTTCAGCCAAATCCTTCCTAGCAGCAAAAAGGCCCTTAAGCAAGTTGAAGTATTTAGGCGTTTGAAGTATTGTTTCCACAAATGGCACATTAACTTGAAGAGCGTTAACATGATTCATGAAGGTTCTGTATGCTTCTACTTTTTCTGCAGGCATGGCTTTGGTTGGGTATGGCAGTGGAGGCTTATAAGGTTTCGAAGAACTGATAGGTTTTTCAATTTCGCATGGACTCGTCGAGTCCAATGGAGTGACTCGGCGAGTCGGGTCGGGTTTGGCTGGCTCCGATTCTTCTACCTTTTCTTCATCCTTCTTGGAGATCCTTAGTGCTTCTGTAAATTTTTCTTCACTGCTGGAGGTTATTACGCTCACGTTCTCCATTCTTGGATTGGGTTCGGTGTTTCTCGGAAGTTGGCCCGGTCTTCTTTGATTCACTTGATGTGCAAGCTGTCCCAGCTGTTTCTTAATGTTGAGAATGGATGCTTGCTGATTCCTCAACATGTTTCTGGTTTCTTGCATTGCTACATCGTGATCATTGTGTCTTTTCTCGGACGTGGTTATGAACCTTGTGAGCATATCTTCTAAATTTGCCTTCTTTTCTATCACCAGCTCTTCCTTTTGATAGAATCCCCTCTCCCTCTGTTTGTATTTCTCCTCCTTAGCCTTTTTATATCCTTCGTATGGGAGCCATTCCTTCTTCGGTTTCCTCCAGTCTTCATCTTATCTATCGCCACTGGAATAGAATACTTGAGCCTTTTTATTTCCGTTCTCGTCTCGATCACAATCCTTGGTGAGGTGGGGGCCGCCACAATTTTCGCATCCTACCCTAATAGCATGGATTGTTTGATCCATTTTCGTCATTCTTCGATCTAGGCTATCGAGTTTAGCTATTACCGCCGCCATGCTATCGTTAACCGATTTCACTGCTCCACGACTCACTTCGTTCCTCGGATTGTGGTATTCTCTAGAATGCTTGGAGAATTCTTCAATTAACTCCTTTACTTCCGGAGGTGGCTTTCTGGTGAGCGGGCCTTGTGAATCGAGTAGTTGCCTTGTGGTGACATTAACTCCATCATAAAAGATGGAGACCTCTTGTTGGCTATTAAGGTCATGATGTGGGCAATTTCTAAGTAGGCTCTTGTACCTTTCCCAAGCTTCATAAAGAGATTCTCCGGGTTGTTGCTCGAAGTTGGCAATGGATTTCTTTAGCTTGGCTATCTTGGAAGGTGGGCAAAATGGTCAATGAACTCTTCTTTCATCTTGGCCCATGTGGTGACCGATCCGGGAGGGAGTGACTTTAACCAATCTTTTGCAGCTCCTTTAAATGTGACAGGAAGCATGCGAAGAAGCTGGATCTCGCGAGGCACATTGGGTACATTGAAGTAATCTGCCACATCATTTACTTCATCCAAGTGCTTATAGGCGTCTTCATGATCTCTCCCGTGAAAAGGGATCTCCTTGAGTTGAGCGAGAATATGGCCCTTTAGTTCAAAAGTAGCGGTAGCGGGAATTGCGGGTTGCACAAGTCCCGGGCCGGTGTCATCACGCATCCTCTTCTTCCATTCCCCCATGGGGATTTCGTCAATATTAGCCATAGCGGTGGCTAAATCGTCTTCAAACTCGGATGTGTGCTCGTTTTCTTCCTCGGTCTCGTACTCGGTGTCTTTTTGGATCGGGTCTTCGATTGTCAACGATGCACTGGATGCTCCTGATTTGCTGCTCCTTTTCTTGCTAAAAACGGATTTGAGGTTTTTGAGTGGTGAGTTCTTTGAAGAAGCGGATTCTCCAACGGTTTTGCCTTTGTTTCTTCTTAATGCGGTTTCCGGATCTTCAAGAGGGGGAACCAGAGGCGTATCAGATCCTCGGGTCATGAACCAACTGCAAACAAAACAAAAAACGCGTAAAAAGAACAAAAGAAAATTAAACCTGATTCAGCGTCGTACTCGCCGAGTCTGGGCGAATGCACTCGGCGAGTCCAAGGTAAAATCAGTTTTTTTTTACCTAAAAAAACAGAAATTAACTTTGTGTAAGATGAATCTTACACAAAGGATCGATTGAATTAGAATTTTAATGCTAATTTTAGAACCGTTCCCCGGCAACGGCGCCAAAAACTTGATGTGTGTAAAACTCACTTAGTTTTAAACCTACTTTAATTATCAAATAACACACAAAAGGCAGTGAACCTATCAATTGTGGTATAGCTAAATAAGCAGGGTATCGAACACAGGGAACGGCAAATTAAATTAAAAACTAATTCTATCTAAGTTGATTAAGAAATAGGGATTTTTCTCTAGTTTTACAAGACTAGAAACTTACTAACTATAACTAATTTAAGACTAGAAAATAACAATTTAACTAGATTCAATAATTGGAAAGGAACTTCTGTTTAGTTCAACTCGGTTAACTCTATGGTTGATTTCAAGGTAATAGTGCAATGGATTAATTCTTTCGTTGGTTACCGATTCAAGTGATTAGGTTCATGTTCACTACCCTAATCCTTAGCAAATAAACTAACTCAAACAGTGGCCAATTGCTTAATTTAATTATATTTACTAGATTAATTATTCGGGTTAAGTTAGACTTGCAATAGCTAATTAATTTATTATTCTTAATTAACCTCTTGTTTGATGGTCATCTTACAAGCTTGCACATGAATTTACTCAATTTTCTTATTAATTCTAGTTTCATATTCATTAATCCTAGACATATAGTATAGTGGTCACATATCATATGAGGTTGATAATCAATAGATGTTCATGCTAATCAATTATCTTCCTATTAACAGAAAATTAATTATTATTCACACACAAGGTTCTTTAGCAAGCTAAAATAACAAAAATTCACCAACTTGGAATTAATCCTACCAATCAATCAAACCATATTGTCAACTTTGTATCCCCAAACAGAAGTCTAAAGATTTTAGTTCATAATTAAAGTAAATAACAGCAAACAAACAAGTTCAAGTTGCTTAATCATATTGATGAAACAAAAGAATAAGTAGAATGATGAAATTGTGCCTTAATTACTCCCGGAATTGAATTCTAGCTTTCTTTGTCGACTTCTAGGGTTCTTCTGGCTTCTTAATCGCAGCAAAACACTTCTGAATCGTCCCAGAACTCTCCCTAATCGATCTGTGGAGTTATCTTTAAATAAGCGATCCGACTCGTCGAGTCAAGTGGTGACTCGTCGAGTCCCTCTCACATTCCCCGTATTGCGATAACTATCTGGAATTCCGAGTCATTATCCTTCTGATTCCTCGACCGGACTCGTCGAGTAGGCTATCTGACTCGACGAGTGGATGCCTTTTTTAGTGTTTTTCTTCTTCATTCCATTCTCGAGCTCCTAACCGCTTCTCCTGCTTCCTTTTGCTTCCGAGCTTCATCTTTGGACTGAAAAACATAATTTAACACTTTTAAGTACCTTTTGTCCATAATATGCGATAATTTAGCTAATATATGAATAAAAAACTATACTTAATACACACTAAATATGCACATATCATTTGGGTTTAGGAACAAACTCAAATTTTACGTTTATGACAGACAGACAAAAGGTATTAATTCGAATATCAAATTAATACATTATATATGATATACTTTTAATACAATTTTCCATTATATAGGGAGTGTTACCTGCTATAGCAAAGTTGTTTCCATGCGCTGAGCATCGTTATTATCTCCGTCATATCCATGAAAACATGAAAGCTAATTGGAAGGCAAAGCAATTCAAAGACTTGCTATGGGATTGTGCAAAAGCATCTACTGTTCAACAGTTTCAACGATCAATGGAGGAACTTAGAAAACTTAATAATGATGCGTATGAGTGGCTTAAAAACATTCCTCCTCAACATTGGTCTCGTTCACACTTTACAGGTAGATTTTAATGTTAGATCATTAGTTTGTAGCTGTGCAATATGTGTGAAACTCTAAATAGCTCATACATATTTTAATGATTTATCAGGTAGAGCTCATACAGATGCTATGCTTAACAATATGTGTGAATCTCTAAATAGCAAGATTGTTGAAGGTCGTGATGTACCAATCATTACATGTTTGGAGTACATTAGAGAGTACTTAGTGAAGAAAATTGTAACTGTGCAAAAGGAAATTGATAAAGCTGTAGGTCCCTTGACTCCTACAGCTACTATATGGGTTGAAAAACTAAAGAAAGAGGCTTCACAATTAAGGTCTGTTTTCTGTGGGAATGGGAAATATCAAGTCAGTAAAAATCTTTTGGAATAGTTTGTGGTAGATATGGGCCAACAAACATGTTCATGTAGAAGGTGGGAACTAATAGGGATACCATGTGCACATGCAATAGCATGTATGTGGGAGATGTTGAAGAACAAAGAAATTGATAAGATACTCGAACATTGGGTCCATCGAACGTATTGGTTAGAAACATGGAAGAATATGTATTCTTTTACAATTCACCCAATCAATGGAAGGAACATGTGGGAGAAGTCTACATGCCCTACAACCTTACTCCCTCCAAAACACCATGTGCCCATTGGAAGACCAAAGAAAAAGAGAAGGAGATCTGCCATGGAGGTTGAGGATTTGGTGAAAGGTAACCAATTGTCAAGAGCACAAAAATCAGTGACATGTTCTAAGTGTAACAAAAGTGGGCATAATGCAAGGACTTGCAAGGGACAGAAGGTTGGTGGTTCTCAAACTTCAAGGAATGTTGGTGGATCACAAACTTCAAAGATTGTTGGTGGTGCTGGTAGTGAAAAAGTGAAGGTTGGAAGTGAAAAAGTGAAGGCCGGTGGATCACAAACTTCAAGGAATGTTAGTGGTGCTGGAAGTGCAAAAGTGAAGGATGGAAGTGCAAAAGTGAGGGCAAGTGTTAGCAAAAAAGGGAAAGGTGTCCCATAAATGTGGCTTTTAGGTGCTTATGTATTGTTTTGGTTGATGTTGACAAACATTGTCTTCTTTTGAACTAATTTATGTGTTGTGATGGTTATGTTGATTGCTTTTGAAAAACAATGGTGTAATTATAGTATCCAGTTTTAGCAATGTACTTTGCCTTTGACAAACAATGTAATCTTTTGATTGCTTTTATTTTGGTCATCTGTTTTGCTTATTTTGGTCATCTGCTTTTGGCATTGCTTTTATTTTGGTCATATGTTTTTCTTTTATTTTGGTCATCTTCTTTTGTCAATGTAATCTTTTGATTTCTTTTAGCAATGTAGTTTAACGAATGTCCCAAGATACATCACAAATTGTAAAATACAATCAAGTTCAACAAAATATCATTTTCATTGATAAAAGGGTACCCTTGATACAAATAAGATTCATTACAAGGCATTGTAAACAACTGCAACTACATCAGTTGATCTTAAAACTAACACTATAACTTGTAAACAACTATCCCAATAAACAAAAACCACCTGATTATTAACAATGCCTTCAGATTCCGATTTTGGACCTCCAGTTCTTGAATTTGGATTTCAAGCCCCTCATTTTTTATTTCCGCCTCATGACCATGCTTTTCTTCATCTACCCACTTAATAAAGCCAAACCTTGGTCCCTGTACTGTGAATAGCTTCGATTAGCACATACACACACTAGGGTTACAATAGAAAAACCCCAAAACAATTCCAGCATCGTACCTCTAATGGGCAAGCATAAAATGCCCTACCTGGGTTTCTTTACGTAGTTGAAGTACGTATAACGCCTATCGCACCACAATTGCATTTCACCATGTTTGATCGGCTGTGAGAAGAAAGGTGGGAGGAGAAGACTACGATTGAGAAAGAAATGGGGGAAGAAGACAAATAAACCATGTTTAAAGAAGACTGGGTGACATGAAAAGACAAAAATACCCCTGCGTGCCTTGCACGTGGGGTGTTTTAACGGAGCAACTAGACGGGATGTTAAGTGAGGGACCAGGAGGGTTATGAATTTTACCGTTAGGGATCATCCGAGTTAAAAATCTTGCTCAGGGACTAGGCGCGCAGGTTACCCCAAACCACAGGGACCATCCGTGTAATTTACCCTTATAATAATTAAGAAAATAAACATATAATTCACATAATACTCAAACATTTCATCATTAATACTCCAAAAAGAGTTACAAGGGTTAACCTAGACTACTATATCAATGATAATGTCTAGCCTGGAAACACGGGCGCTACACTAAAGGACTCGACGAGTTGATGAGTCAACTCGACGAGTTGGCTAGGGTTTTCCCCGATGAGTTTGGACATGTGTAACTCGACGAGTTGATTAGACAACTCGAAGAGTTAAGTTTATTTTCGTGACATTACTGAAGAAACGACGGAACTTGTCGAGTCACATAGATGCAGTCAACGAGTTGGGTCAACATGGACTGTTGACTCGAGTGTTGACTTCGGTTGACTTTAGGGTTTGGTCAAGACATGGATTATGGAGGCCATGGAGGGGTAGAATGTTCTTTTACCCATCCCAAGAGATTAGAGAGAGGAAATATCTTGGTTTATTTAGAGTTTTGATTTAAGTGTTAATTAGAGATAATTATCGTATGTGTTAGGCGAAGGATAGGTCGGTGATTCGTGTACGAGATTTATTTGCTTGCTTACAAGGTGAGTCTTCTCACTATACTTACCTTGAGTGGTAACTTTGTGTGATTGGAGGGTCTTATCTGCTTATATTAAGTATGGTGATATCCTGCATTATGTCGTTGTGATACATGTTGTGTGTTATGTTGAGCTTTACTGAGTTAGGACTGGAGGGTCCACCCGAGTTATGGGATCGGAGGGTACCATTGAGACACATCAACCAGAGGGTCTTATTTGAGAAATAGCCATAAGAAGCTAATGAGCTATGTGTGATATTTTGAGGAACTCACTCAGCTTTGTGCTTACCGAGCTATGTGATATATGTTTCAGGTACTTCTCAAGATCGCAGGAAGGCGCCGAGTTGATTGTACTATGGTTTGTGATAACTATGTTATGTGATATGTGTTTTTGATAATTTGACACTTTGGGGATTTTGTGAAATGTGTTGGTGAGATTTATGTGATTTTAAAAATGATATTTTTGTTTGAAAATTTACGGTGTTATACCAACTTTATCCCTTAGATTCTCTAGAGGTCTAGATGTCAAGTTTTAGGTCCAAAAACGCAAAAACATGGCATGAGGTCAACCAAGAAGCACTTAATCCCTTAATTATTTAACCCGTTCACCCCAGAAGAGGTTATAACACTAAAACCAACATAAGGTTCATGTTTTTTAGCAAGGTTGTAAAAATCGCTCGACGGACGACTAGTATTAAGGGATTAATTGGTCTTGGCAGGGATTAATTGGGGACCATAGATTATTAATAAAATATTAAAATTAACTAAAGATTTATATATTTTAAGAAAAATAAATACTTCAAAATTAGAAAAAAAAAAAAAAGAGAATTTGTAATTTAAAATTTTGAAAATATGAAAATATGAACATTTTGGTATAATATTTGAAAGTTTGAAATTTTTTGTGTAATTTTTTTTTTTTTTTTTATAATTTTTTTCGGTTTTTTTGACTTTTGCCGACCGATTAATCCTTCCAACTCCGATTAATCCATAATTTCCGCCAAACACATTAATCTTAGTTGGTTGGAGAACGCTAAGTGATTAATCCCGATTTCTACAACCATGCTTTTCAGACATGCATGTACAATGAATGTCTTGGACTCACATTAGGTCAAAATAAGGATTATAACCAAAATCGTATGCATGGTTCAATCAACCAACCAAACATCAGATCTAAAACATGAATTACTCCAAATGATCCAGAAATTCATAAAGTAGCAACCTTTATGAAATCTCACCATCTTGACTAACAACATCTTAGAAGAAATTGGTAGAAATCTCAAGATCTAGCAACTTAGTAACAAAATGGTGGAGACTTGAACACTCTCAAGGGTCCAAAATCGAGCTTGGAAGAGAGATGGGGACTTGATTGCTGATCATTAGATTACTCCTTGCTTCTTCCTTCAAAATCTCCCAAAATTACTGAAGAAAGCTTCAAAAATAAAGGATAAGGAATTACGGTTTCTTTAGAGCTTAATAATGTGGTGGAGGTGAGGGTGAGCAAACCGTAGCCTCGTCATTCCCATAAATATAATGCATAACCTATAAAATTAGGGTTTAAGGCCTTAGCAGTGACTATGTCGTGGCTTATACCTGCCACGTCGTGGCGAGTCAATAGAGACTCGCAACTAGAAAAACGCCTCGCTCCAACAAATCATAGTCTAAAACTTCCTCCCATAAAATCATCTTAAAAGGCGGTTGATCGATACTATCGTGGTAGCAGTTGTTATAAGAAAACTTAGCCAATGGAATATACATATCACAACTTTCGCCAAAATCCAGCACACATGCCCGAAGCATCCTCCAGAGTTTCAATAGTTTGCTCACTATGTCCATCATTCTATGGATGAAAAGTCATGTTGAAGTGCAGTTGAGTACCCGACTCCTCGTGAAACCTCTTCCCTAACCTGGAAGTGAACTGAACATCCTGATCTGAAACCATTAGGACTCCGTCCCCGTGACGTGCCGCCACCTCACGGATATATATATATATATATATATATATATATGTGTGTGTGTGTGTGTGTGTGTGTATATATACGCTAATTCCATTGTAGAGATGCTCTGTTGAATCAAAATGAAATGAGCACACCTGTTCAATCTATCCACCATGAACCAAACCGAATCCATCCCTCGTACGGTGTGCAGTAGCTTCGTGATAAAATCCATTGTAATCCCTTCCCATTTCCTAATGGGAAAACGAATGGCTCCTTCCTGTCATGAGTTCGCTGATGCTCGACCTTGACTTTCTTGCAAGCCAAGCACCTCTCCACACACAAGGCCACATCATGCTTCATGAAAGGCTACCAATAATCAAGTTGGACATCTCTATACTTCTTTTTTCGTACCCAAATGAATAGAAAACTTTTATTTGTGTGCCTACTCCAACAAAATCTACCATGTACCGCCGGAATATCAAACCCAAACTTTCTGATGATGTTTCAACAATCCTAGACTATCATAATCAAAAGAGGACACTTAACAAACTATGGGTTCATTCTTTTTGTGCTTCCTTATCACAGACTCAACCTAAGCATTATAGATCTGCTCCAAGAGTGGGGTAATCACTATCATCCTCAATCATTTATCCCTGTTAGGAGTACGAGCCACCTTGCGTCTAAGAACATCGACGACTACGCTATCCTTCCCAAGGTGATAATGGTTGTCACAATCATAATCCATCAGTACATCGCGCTCTTGTGGTCCGTGTGAATGATATCACGAACCCCATAAAAATAGTGATGCCACATCTTGAGGGAAAAAACCACCGCACCCAACTCCAAATCATGGGTGTGATAATTTGCCTCATGAGGCTTTAGCTGCCTTGAAGCATAATCTATCACATGACCCCTTTCCATTAATACTACATCCAATCCAGAAATTGACGCATCGCAATATACCACTGAATCATCTGCACACTCTGGTAGAGTCCCAACAGAAAGTAATGACTTATTCGTCAACCTCATCAACGGAAAAACAATCTTGGATAAATTCTCAATAAACCTCCGATAATACCCAGCTAAACGAAGCAAACTCCAAATCTCAGATGGAGACTTTAGAACCTCTCACTACATCACACCCTCGATTGAGTCCGGATCAACCAATATATCGTTCTGATTGATGAGGTGCCCCAAGAAGTGCACCTCGTGCAAGCAGAACTCACACTTCGATATGAAGCTTTTCCCTCCTCAGATTCTCTAGAACCTCTTGTGGATGATCCTCATGCTTCTCCTTGGTCTTAGAACAGACATATATATCATCTATAAAAAACAATCAAGGACCGATCTAGCATCAAACTGCAAACCCTTCTCGTGAGATCCATGAACGATGCTGGAGCATTGATGAGCCCAAAAGGCATGACCACGAACTTGTAATGACCGTAAGAAGTCCTAAAACCATCTTCTAAAGATCCTCATCCTTAACTATCACACCTTCTGCGACCGATGGCCGAAGATGTTGAGTGGTGACGGTATAAAGATTTACCAAATCACATAGTGCCAATCATATACCTTTACAAAACGAAATCTACAAGTATTCATGTTGATAATCCTTTCCTGACTTCATCTCTTACTCTTTCCTAGGAACACATGCGATTTTTTGAAAACGTCAATATAATGTTAGTGAGTGCAGAAGTTTTTATAGTTTTATAGTTTTTGACTTTTATGTTGTATTATTTAAGAATACATTTTCTTTTAGAAAAATATTTCCTAAAGTATTTAATCAACCCAGTCATACTATCTTTTAGGATATGTAACAGTCATATCTTATTTTCTCTAGGATATCTAATGATCCTTTCTTATTATCTCTAGGATGTAGATGTTGACGCTGACAGATACCGTGTAGAGTGTTTCACTCATCATATCATAAGGTGTGACCTTACAATCCCCCCTTATTTGATGATGACAAAACTATTATTCTTCAGAGTCATCAGAAGAACCATTGTAGAATTTGTCAGCTTGTTTCAATATCTCTGGCTTAACCATCTGAAATCATCAATTTAAAGCTCTTCCAATCTTTTACTATGCTCCAAAGATATTAGCACACGATAACCTCTTTCCACTTTAAAATGAATAGGTCCTTCGTTGCGAAGATGAAACAAATGTACAGTGGGAGTAGCATGAAGATCATTAGTGCATTGAAAGCACATGTGATTTTGATTGTTAAGATAGAAAATCCCATGCTCTGGTTCTGGAATGAACATGTACTCTACTTGTTCAACACATGCTGGCAGTTTGTTGTTGATGTACAAGTGCCATAAGGAAGAAGAAACTTGGTTTTCTTGGATTGTTTGGGAATGCATGTTCTTTTTGAGGAGCATGGTCTAGATGGATCAGTTGAAGGCACAAGCTTCATCTATCTGACTTTGTTAAGTAGCTATTGAATTGCCAACTTCACCTCCTGAGCATGAGTACCCTTATGTTTCTCAATAATTTCTTGAATGTGCATCCACACATTTTAGCCAAATTTGAATATCTCATGAGCTAATACAACCTCAGTGGATTCATATTCAGTCTTCTTTCTGACTAAGTAAAGCTTTAGTGACTCGTTCCTAGGTTTGGTACATCTTACTTTGATAATGGGATCATGCTTTCTTCTACAAGTTAGAACGTCTGCAAACTTCTAGGTCTGAAACCTTGTGTTATTTGCTTACACTATTATTAAAGAGATTAATTTTCTTGACTTTATCATTAGTGCTTTCATTAATGGACGGAAGGGCTTGAGCATGTTTGGAGGACATACATTCTACTTTTCTAGCTTCTTTCTTTTGTCAAATAGTAGCATTATTCTCCATCATGATATCTCTTACTTTATCAACATATAAGCTCTGTATTTTAGCCAATTCATTTAGATCAAAAACGAGCTTGCTTTTCTTTGAAGGAGGAGGTGTTAAAGGATCACCAGTAGTAGAACTTCCAGCTTCATCATTATGATCTCCCCATGAGGAGGAAGCTATCCTCTTTCGAGGATAGAGCTAGTCATTATTAGACTCAATGTCACTATTCGTTCCGTGAAGAACCTCCCCCTCAAAGTTTGAAACAGGGTAGACAATATTGAAAGGAACAATAGGCACAACATTAGGTAGCATGAATCCTAGATCAATAAACCCTTCATAGTCATCAATTTCAGATTGATCACCATTGTCTATAATAGGTTGATTAGTTGTTTTATCATCTTATGTAATGTCAGCAACAAAAAAATATCCTTTTGAAGGTCAGCTTCAACCCTTCCAGTTTCAGACATCTCATGCTGAGATGGAGTTTGTGCAATCTCCACCATTTACATTTGTTGATTAGTTGTTTTATTAGCTTATTTTCCCCTTTTTTGGCAGCATGAGGAGGTCATGAAGGAGTGAGAGGATGAGGATGAGAAAGTGGAGGAGGTGTTGGAGGAATATTGGATGATGGAGGTGAACGTGGAGGAGGATTATCACCTGGAGAGCTTGGTGGAGTGCCATCAACAACCATATCATCATCAACAACAACAACAATGAAGTCCATAAAACGCTTCATATCAGCCCCATCCTTATCTACTTTGTTCAACCTTTTTCCTAGTGATTGGGTTAACTGCATAACTAGAGAGGGTTTAGATAGCACATTAGTTTTATAATTTGATCTGGATTCTTCCTGATCATCCTGACGAAAAGCAACAATGTTAATAGTTGTTGGTATAGGAGGACCAGTCCCAGCTTGAGGAGAATGAGACGCTGACTCATCTTCGATCATAGGATCAATAGTTTTTACTACAAGTAGGGTTGATCCACATTCTTCATTATCATCTGCGGAGGGAGTTGATGTAGAAGTTGATGAGAATTGAATGTGCTTGTTCATCCTTGGATGAGAGTTCATTCCCTAAGTAAAGTGTTCTCCCTTACCGGTGGTTGTTTTTTCTTCATCATCATAACTTTCTTCTTTATTAGTCCCTTCTTTATTACCAGTCCCTTCTTCATTATATCCTCATCATTTTCTTCATTGGCGTTTTCATTTGTGCCTTCCTCACTATCATCCCTTCATCCTTTTCTTCAGATTTGGAGGAATCAACTACATTGGGTTTAACAATCCATTTTTCTATCCTCACAATAATATGCAAATCATCTTTAGTAGGATCAATTTTAATGATCTTTGAGGAAAGGGCAGGAAAAGGAATAATAATCCCATGACTTTCAACATAACATTCCTTACAGTATAAGATCAGTCCAAACCAACAGGGATAGGGAACATACACTGACTTCTTATTCCTAATCATGAAATCAATCACTTGATCCTGAAAAGGTTGAGTAACATACAACTTTTTGTCGTACACAGTAGATATAAAAATCCTTTGATCAAAGAAATTCAATTGATCCAAACTTCGAGTCTTATGTCCAAGACACTTTCCAATGACGCGTATTAAATACTTCCATCCTTCACTAAAACACTAACGAATAGTGTTTTTGTATGGATCATGAGTGATGCCCTGAAGATTGAAATTACACCTAATTTTCACGAACGTAATTGCACCTTTCTTCTGAGGGAGTTTCAGAGTAATTTTCATATTGAGGAAGACGAAGAGCGGTTCGAAAAGATTTCACATCAATACTAACCTTATATTGATCATCTCTAGTGGTTCTAGTAATAGTTTGAGCATAGGAATCAACAGAGCGTGAATAGTAGAAATCACATAATTGTTTAGGGGTAGAATGGGTCTAGGAAGTTGCATAATGTATATCTAAGAGCACATCTCTTAACATTGTCGAAGTAGCCTTCGATTCTTGTGTTTGCAAATGTCTTTAGGATTTCATCAGAGAAGCCACATTTTTCGCTTGAATGATGATGAGAGAGTCAGGGGATGATGACATTTGACTACATTAGCACAGTGGACAAAGTCATATAGAGACTTTAACATGTTGAAAGGCTAAGAAAGATTATGGTTGAGAGAGCCTTTTCTTTTCCGGTAGAGAGAGAGAGAGAGGGGGGGGAGAGAAAGAGAGAGAGAGAGAGAGAGAGAGAGAGAGAGGGAGAGAGAGAGAGAGAGAGAGAGAGAAAGAGAGAAAAGAGAGAGAAAGAAAGAAAGAGAGAGGAGTGAGAAAGAGAGACAATTGCTTGAATAGCTTGTAAAAGTAACCTAGGATGGAGTATTCCCAATTTATACCAAAAAGTTTCTTCCTTTTTACGTAATCATGACTAACAAGATGTTCACCATAAAAATCTCGTTTCCCAAGAAAATGATAGACTTTTTAATCGTCATCCAAAAAGTTACTGTTGAAAAAAGGAAGTTACATCAATGAGACATGTCATCACCGTCAAAAAACATTAGTGTAAGAAATCAGTGAGCAAGTTGTGATGGTCACCCATTAAGTTTGTGTTGCCTCTTGATTGTTTGGGCTTAAACTGCCATTCAATGAAATAGTATTTTAAGATCTCATCAGCATGTGGTTTTATACACTGGCTCATTAATCACTTTTATTAGAAGAAAAAGGGAAAGAGTGGCATGATGTGTGTAATACATCCCGATATGAAATGTACCTATCGGCAAAGAATGTCAAATTTTATCAGGGTATGGCTAATACAGTCAATCATTAACCTATTACTAAAAGAATTGTTGGAAAAGATTGCGTAGGTGCGCATAATATATCATGGACAAAGATATACCCATCACCACAGATTTTTCCAATTCTCATCAACATTTGGTATCATACATTGAATCATGAAATTCTAAAGAAGAATTTATGTAGAGAATGGTTTGATATGTGTGATAAGTTGTGGTATTTTAGCTTAACCATTGGCATAGATATTTCAAGCTCTCGTGAACGTATGGTAGATTATGATGAATCATAAAGCCTTGAAGAATAATATAAGGAAAAGAATGGGTTGGTGTGTGTGATAGCCTACGGTACATAGACTAACCATCGGTACAGTGTTTCAAACTTTTATCAGTGTGTAGTATATCACAGTGGATCGTAAATTTTTATCAAGAATAAATTGAGGAAAGAATGGATTGTTTCAGTCATGCTGAGCTGAAATCAGCATGAATCATAAACAATGTTAACTCATTAGTAAAAAGTGGATTAACTTTTGTATCATTGAGTTAAGTTACAGTTTAAAGCTAAAAAGTTCACCATTAGTTCATTTAATATGGTACAAGATAGATTAATAAATAATATAAGAAAACAAAAAAAGGGTTAGTCAAACAAGGAAATATTCAAAAAGCTATATTTGTGCAGCTTTTACAGAACATGATAAAGACTCGATCCACCAAATCTTTTGAATTAAATGGTTGTAAATGTACTTCCATTTTCCAAGATATCTACCCCTCAACACTTGTCTATAAAACTGAGCAAACAAGATCAAATATATCAAGCATGAACACAATTCGTAGTGGACAAAGATAGAGAATGCCTTTAATCGTTGAGATATTGTATAGTGATTCCAAGCTTCATGTTCACCATGATCGAAGGAAGAGCATGAACCTGTCTTTGAAACCAACAACTTAAAGGATCCAATCTTTGTAACCTTCAAGTTATAATTTTCACAAAGACAAAAACTAAAGCTTCCACTCATTATGATCCATAAAGAAAGAGAAGAAAATATGCAGAGTTAGCATCAACTAGCTTTTACAAGGAAGATGATGCATTCAAGGAATGAAATGTTGGTTATATCAGTTAAGATCAATGTTTATAGAGACAAAGGATCTTAAGACATTTAGAAGGCAAGAGAGAAGATCATACATAGGAAATGTTAGTAAAAGAATATATAAGCTTATGTTTAGAGATTTAAATGTAGCAAAGCATAAAGTAAAAAATAAACAAAGTAACAATGTCTTAATGACCAAAATCAAACCATATACAGGTTGTTGTCCCTAAGTGCAGTAAGCACAATTTTTTTTCTCAGAATCTAACACCATTCCCTCATAGAAATTGAAAAGAACTGTATAACCAATGTCACAAAGTTGACAAATGAAGATGAAATTTCTTTTATGACCGTCAAGATAAAACACATCCTTTAGCTTGATATCCCTTCATTAAAAATTTCTAACACCCATAATAGCTCTTCCACTATTGTCACCAAAGACCACCATTGGACCATCCTTCTCTACAAAGTCCATCAATAGGGACTTAAAACCAATCTTGTGTATAGAACTTCCAATGTCTAGGTACCAAGTTTGTCCTACACTTAGACTTGATCCTTTGACCGCGTGAGAATCATCAACGTCACAAATGTTAAGATTATCATCGAGGGAATATTGATAAGAGCCATTAAACCCTTAACATCTGGTCCCTAATCTTCGGATGTATCCTCTTCTTCCACCTATTCCTCATGATCCTCTTCTTTTTCAGTGAAGGATTTTGGCAAAAAGATGTTTTCTTTATTCATATGATCCAACAAATTCTTATACATCACCTCATAATTCTTAGGACTTTCAACTTCTTTCTTCTCTTTGTAGTCTGTGGCAAAATAGCCAGAGCTACCACAGTTAAAGCAATTAACTGAGTTTTTCTTCTCTGAAGATGATTTCTTCTTTGAACTGCCTCCCTTAAACTGAGCTCTTCGAACCCCATTTGGTATTTTTTTTCTTCGTAACATTTGACAATAAGTGCAGCTATGGCAACAAGTTCATTAGTGAGATCTTCATCACACTCCTCACCCTGATCTGAGATATCTGAGTCGCTGACATCCTTCATTACTACCTTTTGATAAACTAGGTCTACGAACTTTTCCTTGCTCGAGTCTTTTATGATGTCTTTACGAAACCCTTTGGTCTCCTCGTAATTTCTCAAATTTCCAGTCAAGGAGTTTAGATCCATAGAGTTGATCTTTTCACTATTCTTAAGAACATTAGTGTGATGTTCCCAGCTTTTCCCAAGACAATCGAGAAACTTCATAACCAACTGAGATGAATGCTTGAAAGTTCCCAGCTTATGCATATCATTAACCAAGCGGTTAAACCTATTGAAGGTTTAGATAAGTGACTCACCTTGTTGAGCAAAGAAATGATGATATCTTCTATTGAGGTTGTTAATAGTTTTGGCATGGACATCCATGATGCCTACATAAGCCACTGTCAGCTTTTCCATCATCTCTTGGGTTGAGTCACAACTCTGCAGAAGATGATACATGTGATGGTGAAGAGAGTTTCATATCACTGATCTAGCTTTAACATCAAGATTAATCAACGTCTTGTCATCGTCGTCATAGCTAGTCTTTGGTTTTTGCTTCAAGGGACCAACGGGAGTATTGTTGGCCATGGGTTGATACATTGGAATGTGAGGACATTTTTCAATAATTTTATGCATGTCAAAGTCCATGATTTAAAAAAACAACCATGGCCTTAGTTTTCCATATGGCGAAGTTGTACTCATTGAAGGGAGGTATCTTGTTGAGACCAATGGATTTGAGATCATTAGAAGTCAACATGATTTCTTGAGCGTATCATAAACCTGCTCTGTTACCAATTGAAGGTTTGTATCGATTGGATACACTTCACGTATAAAGAACAAAAGTAAACAAATCTAAGCAAATAAAGAATACAAAGTAAATAACACAGGGATTTCTCCAAATTTTCTTTCACTAAGAAAGGGTTTGTCTTCACCAAGTAGATAGTTTGTCACAAACACGATCGCCAAGATTAACTCAACATTAGGGTTTACCCTAATGTTGATTATAGAATAATCTATACAAGTATCTCCCTTGATTAAAGGGATTGTATCTTATCTATAATAAGAACTGATCCTCATCAAAAGGACATTGGATCTGTTATCTATTCTATACTTATCTATATCATTTCCTAATATACAAAAAGATTCAGTAGAATAACTAACTTCACGCGGATGTTATTGGACTTGATACGATGG